AAACATATCAAGATTTTTGATAGAACCTCATATAAGTAGAATTAATACAATAAGATTTGTCACTTTATATTTGTTGAAATAAATGATGTTATTTCGTTTAAACAAATTAATTATTTCGTTTAAACGAAATAATTATCTCGTTTAAACGAAATAATAAATAAATATGTTTACAATTGCGCCTTAGGGGCTCCGTACTTAGGGGCTCCGTATTAGGGGCTCCGTACGATTCAATTTTTTCATCACAATATATGTTTTTTCCGTAAAATCTTGTATTGTAAGACCCTGTAATGTTTTAACTCTGCTTAACGCAACATAGGCTTGACCAGCTTGGAATATTTTATGAAGTGATATTAAGCCTCTATCGAGACTTAGACCTTGTACTTTGTGAATAGTAACTGCATAGGCGAGACGTAATGAGAACTGGCGTCTAACATCGCCCTTATAGTTAACATGAGGGCTTTCATATCTCTCAATACCAATCTCTCAGTACATTTGGCGGAAGTGGAACACTGTCTTCATTTATTTCAACTTTAGCATTATCAAATTTTACAAAAATTTTGTCAGTTTGATTATTCTGATCAGTTTGAATGAATGTTACTTGACCAAAACTTCCATTTATCAAGCAAGTAGAAACATTTAAATTAATTACTAACATAACTTTTGACCCTACACCTATTTTTAAGCAAGACACTAATGGTGTATCAGTCACTTTAACACATGTGGTTTTAAGCGTCATTTTACCGGTTCTAACATCTTTTGAATAATCTAGAGCACTGATGGACACAGAATTCGGGCATTTTTCATCAATCATTCTAGAATTATAATCATCAACTTGCTGATTAGTAGAAAATATGTGCAGACAATCATCTTCTTTACCAGTTACCCTACTCTGTAACATTTTGACGTCTCAAGCAAGCATTGGTTCACTTTTTTTTTCTTTGTCTAATTCTATTCAATGAGGGCTAAATCATCTTTTTGTCTCATAATTTCAGTAAGTTCAACAAGTNTGAAATTACCGTTCCATAGGTCTATGACACTTTCATGACATGAACTATTACCTTTAACTGGTCTTAGTTGCCCACATATCTCCAAAACATATGAGACAGATATTGTGATTAAGTGCGTTGGGTTAGAATCCCGCTCTGTATTCTGATTCCACGGTCAGTGTTTGCTATAGACAGCCCGCTGTTTGCTTTCATTCCCTCAGCCTAACTAACACCAATGAGTTATGCACATATCTTTATGGCTGAGTGGGAACTGGAAATTTCTTCCATTTCCCCTTTTGAACCTTTCTTCTATGGAAGGTTTCTTGACGATATTTTTATTATTTGGACCGAGTCTTTAACAAATTTTTGGCAATATTTTGAAATTTTAAATAATCACCACCCTTCTGTAAAACTAACTGCGAATATTTCTGAACAAAGTATGGATTTTTTGGATACTACGGTATTCAAAGGACCAAGTTTCTCTCAAACAAACAAATTAGACATCAAAGTATTTTTTAACCAACGGATACTCACCAACTTTTATATAAAAACTCTTTTCACCCAAAACATACTTTTACGGGAATAATCAAATCACAAATTTTTTTAGAATTTGCACTTAAAAAGTAGATTTTGATGCAGCTTGTAGACTAGTTTTCAGTAAATTAAGAGAGAGGGGCTATTCCAAACGATTCTTGCGCAAAATTAAAAATGACACTGTTTTGGACCTTTTGAAAATTAATGAACCCCCTCCTCCAATAAATAACTTTGGCGCAATACCATGTAGAGGTTCTCAGTGTCGCACCTGTGAACATATCCATGTCTCATTATTTTCAAAATAAAAAAAAACGGAAAAATATTTGAAATTAAAGAACGTCTCACGTGTACGGATAAAAATATCATTTACCTAATTTCGTGTAAGCGGCCATCGCTTTGATATAATTCATAGCAAAAATAGACCAATTTCTTATCATTTTAATTTACCTGACCATTCCATTGAAGACCTACTTATCATGCCTATTGAATCAATTCCTGACTCTGATCTTATCAAACCAAAAACCAAACGATTACAGAGAGAAAGCTACTGGATGGACCAACTCCAAACAGTGGCTCCAAATGGACTTAACATCCAGCATGATAATCAAATGATTCACCACCTTTGCCACCTTTAATCATACAGCTGCCAAAACCTCATCCATCGTCAAACAGTATTACAGTGAATAATTACAGAACAGATTTCCGAATGTATATACCAAACGACTTGTAATTGCCTATAAGCGCAATAAAAACCTTAGTTATTTTCTGGTCCGTGGTAGACTCGATCCCATTGAATCCAATAATACTTGACCCCCCTCTCTATTTTCTAGCTCATTAAGTATAATATATTCTAATCCTTATATATAGATGTTTATCTTTTCAGAACCTATTAATACTCTTTTCTTTTAGAACTGGTAACAAGAAAACTTTCATATTATAGACTTTTGTTTATTTCAGAAAACAGTATATTGTGGTACAATTCAAATATAAAAATAGACAATGAAGTAATTATGTATAAAAATTTGTACGAAAAAAATATTTATAAAGTCTCTGATTTGATTGGCAATAATGGAAATTGTCTATCCTATAAAGATTTCTGCCAAAATTATGCTCCGAAAGAAAACTTTGTTAGATACCACGGTGTAATAAATGCAATCAAATCAAAATATGTTAAAAATGATAAAGTAGAAAAAAATCCTACCAATTGCAAGAAAGCTTACAACTTATTAAGAAAGCAGCTCGATATTAACGTCAAACTGGGTGAAACAAAATGGTCAAATCTAAAGTGCAGTGAAAAAGACACATCCTACTTCGTTTAAACGAAATAATAAATAAATATGTTTACAATTGCGCCTTAGGGGCTCCGTAGTTTTTGATATTTTATCCATTTTTTGAAGACTCAGCCTTTGAGTTATAGGTGACTTCTTATAGTTTAAACAGCAACTTTACTTATTTTGAATCATATAAAAGGGCGCCAGTAGGGCGTCCCGCCCTGGTGATAATGCACTAAAGTCCTAACTGGTTTGTAAACAGGCGAACAAGAAATAGTTAAAACAAGTGAGACTGAAACGTCTCAAGGACAGTAATGTTTGGAAACTAGATATAAATATTGTTTATCGAATAAAAATTAAAATAATCAAAACTTACGATAAACACTCCAAATATCAGATGAAAACTGAGGTACAGACGTTTTATTATGTGTAATAATTTCAGCAGGCCTTCAAATTAGCTACAAACATGATTGGATGTTGGTGGGGACTAGCGAGGACAGTTATAAAACGCTATATGATGATTAACCTTATGTACTTCCCCATGCCACCCTAGTAGTATTAAGTTTTGATCATATTATCTCTTTTAGACTTGAACGCAAAAATCTGTCAAACAAATAGTTACCATAGCTATGTGTTGGCACGCATGACGTCATAATGACATCACAGAAATGTACCTATGTCATGGATGATCACCATACATTGCCAAGCAATGAACAATATCTGTTTTATCTCTAAACCTTGTGTTTGGAAATTGAAAAAAAAGCAGCCAATGTCGCTGTCCTGACACAATTTCCCTCATCGTGTTATCTGTCTTCATTAGCCCACATGGTGCAAAAAGTAGGACGTAAAACTCCATTCATTTCATTTCATACACTGTCTTAACAAGACGCCAATTATTCAATGGTTAAGATTTTGAAAGTTAACTGCAACAATATGACGCCATCAATAACGTCTAAAAATGCAAGTAATTTCAAGACATTTTTAAGTATGCAAAATTTCATTCAAATATATGAAAAATATATTTTATCTGCTTTTAATTACTTGGGTGTCAATTTCCTACTCTGCATAAAAATTTCTATTAATTTGGCCAGTACTGTATATGAATAGAAAGTAGAGGTGTTCTAATGACCAGGAAAAATACCAGTCTGTCTCATAATCAATACATAATTAGCTAAATTAGAAGAGAATTACCAGCAGAATTCCAATGAGTGACCGATCAAGAAAGGTCAAAAAGTATTTTTTGATTATCCAGACTACATTCATGGACATTTATGAAACACTTAATTAAATGCAATAAGAATATAACGATATGATTAAAAAATACATGATAATTCATTAGAAACACCAATTAAATCAAATCGCTTAATTTGACACAGAAAATAAGGAAACCCATCTTTAAAAGTTAAGCGGGCACTGAATCGAACATTCCAGATAGGCCTAGATTACCAAAAAATCAAGATCGACTATCATTTTTAGTTTCACTACAAATTAACAGAAATTTTGATATGTTTTCATAGAAAGGAGACAAATTCCCTGTTAAAAATATCGAGATCGTTAAAAAAAATCAAGTTTTGTAGGTTTAGGCCGAAAATCGCAAGAAGAACGTGTTTACTGACTCACGTTTCCTTGTCTTCAGGCGAGATGACAAAGCAACATTATGATCAAAGCAAGAATTTTTATTCGATCAAATTGATCTAATGAGCTCTGACTACATTTTCGAAATAGTAACCAACATATACATACCTTTGAAATTTAGTACTTCTTAATGTTGATACTAATGTTCTAGGCAGCAATCGGTCTGTGTCAAGAAGGGACGTGTTGCGCAGAGACACCTTTATTATATATGGTGTTCCGATATTACAAAAATAAAGCTTTGTAACTTGTAAACAATGTTCGTAATGACTAAAAGACGGCACAAAAATATCAATTACTCACTTTTAGTTTGTGTCTTTCGCTTATTTCTTGATAAATTCTGAGACCTAATTGCCGAAGAGCAATTACATTAGCGGTAAATTGGCTTGTTCTAGAACATTCTACGGAAGTGACGTAAATTCTCGATTTCAAGCTCCATCAAACAAAGATAAAGCCATTATGTCATCATAAGGAAACTATCTTATAAGCAATTTCAATGAATTTCAAAAAAGCTTGGATTTTATGTTGGTTGATTATTTTAGCAAAACAAAACTCGCCTGACTAGAAAGATACTAACTTAAAATACTTCCATATTAACTACAAAATGGCGATAACATTATTTTAATAATTCTTATAAGTACATTTTAAGCTATGCCCATGGACAAGCATTTGTCAAAGTAATTTCTAAAAAGTAAGACTATTTTTGTTTTTAAATTTAGGTGCACCCCTCTCTAGAATAACTCTGGCGGGTGTTGCTCATAGTTGGTTAATTTGGTATCATTTGCCTTATACTGAAGGCTTAAAATTTAAAAACTAGATAAAAACCATAACATTGGCCCCCAATATTAAGTCTGACACAACAGAAAGAGCTACAGAGCACTTTATAAAAATCGCGTAACAATGGCCTCTAAATATTATGTTTGACATTACATATATGTTTTAAAGATAGAAAGATACAGAGCACTTTATAAAAAGCTATCACACCATTCTTTTAAACATGTGTGGCAATCTTTCTGTTGTTTAGCATTGGCACCACATGAATCTTTTAACCAAGCTTTAAATAAATCTTCATCTTTCTTGAGTAACAAAAACTGACCCAACACAACATAGGCCTGAAAGGAAAACAAGAACACTCTTATAATTTGTACATCATAAAAAAACAGCGCTCTTCATAGTTCCATTTTGAATAACTTAACATTTCGCAAAAATAAACTATTATTACTTGCGTAAATGAGAAAATAGGATGGAATGTTTTCACTTAGAGTCTTTTGGGGTTTTTTTCAGACTGTACATATGGACAATTATGATTGGTTAAAACTCTTAATTACATGCAATAAGATCATAATAATATCATTAAGAATACATGAAATAGAACCCCAGTTCATTAGAAACCTTTTATACCAAACTAAATGATGTGTTATGTACTAACTTTCTGGAATGTTTTGTAGAAAACCTGCATAATGGTGAAATAAACAACGCTGTGAGCCAACTTACTCAGTTGATTTCAGATGCTGCAAGCTCAAGTAACATGGCAGTTAAGTTCTTTATTGATGGTGGACAAATCGAAACTAAACCGAGATGGTGGGGCAATGATTGCGAGAAAGTGAGGAAAAATGAATTCAAACTTTTAGACATATGGAGAAATTCAAACTGTGAAGAAGACCGTTTGGCATATAATAAAGAAAAAAATCGTTTCAAAGAACTATGTAGGGTGAAAAAAGACAATTATGACTTTAATGATATATCCAGTGTGTTACCACTTCAATCAAACAACACTATAGACTTATGGAAATGCCTAAAGAGAGCCTCAAGAGTGAGCCAAACTGTGAACAATTGTGTTTCCCCTGAGGAATGGTGTAATCACTTCAATACTTTTCTTAATCAAACCAAATTTGATATTGATGAATGTTTCAATGAGTTTGTTCTAGACTGTTTACAAACAAATCATATAGCAGATGAGATGAATGAGACTGGCTGGATGATGAAATTACAAAAGAAGAAATAACTGGAACTATCCATAACCTACCAAATGGGAAAGCTCCAGGCCCAGATGGAATACTTAATGAGCACTTAAAACACTCACTGACCATATTACTTCCCTTTCTCCATCAACTCTTTAATGCAGTTTTACAGTCAGGGGTTTATCCATCAGCATTGTGTGAGGCTGTTATATTTCCACCTCATAAGCAAGGAACTAAGAAGGACCCTGGGTGTTATTGAGGAATTTCCTTACTGTCAGTTGTCGGGAAGCTATTAACAAAAATATTAAATAACAGGCTAATTGAGTGGGGGGATGCTACAGGAAAATTTTATGAAGCTCAAGCAGGTTATAGGCGCGGTTATAGCACAATTGATAATATTTTTATATTGCAGAGTCAGAAATACCTGTCCAGGTCTAAAGGCCGATTTTTCTGTTTACTTATTGATTTTTCTAAAGCATTTGATAGTATACAACATCATCTCCTAAGATATGTATTGTTAAAGAATAATATGAACCCGAAGATTTTTAAGGTAATTTCATCAATGTATGATCAATTAAAATCGTGTGTTCAAACAGATAAATTGTCCTTACCAAATTACTTTGATTGCACAGTTGGAACAAGACAAGGTTGTATGATCAGTCCAATATTATTTACCTTTTTCTTAAATGAATTACTAGAGATGTTAAATGATGACGAATGTAAGGGTATATAATTATGTAAATGAAGATGTTCAGAATATTTCATCACTTTTGTATGCAGATATAACAGCACTGGCAGACACTGTAGGTAAATTGCAAAAACAAATAGATTGCATTAGTAAATTTTGTCAGAGATATGGAATGAAAATTAATATGGCCAAAACCAAAGTAGTAGTATTTAGTCGAGGAAAGTAAAGTATAATGAAAAATGGTACTATCAAGGGGAGGCAATTGAAAGTGTTTCCATGTATAAGTATTTGGGTCTAATGATAGACTTAAGTGGGGTAAAACTTGTGATCATTTAGCATTCCAGGGCGAAAAAGCCATGAATTCTTTGTTCAACTTTTGTAACAAGAATAATGTAAGTGTAAAAGAAAATATCCCTGTTCCAGCAAAGGAATTCAAATCAAACTGTAGGATGAAAATAATTTTGTAGCTTAAAATATCCCTGTTCCAGCAAAGGAATTAAAATCAAACTGTAGGATGAAAATTATTGAATTAATAGACTTCTTGCCAAAAATATCTTCAAATAAAAAACTACAAATACAAATCTAGCTCAACATATCTTAAATGCAAAACACCAAACACAAAACTCTACCACCAAATGTTCGAATACAAATGTTCAATAACAAATCTCGCTCAACAAATCTTGCGAAACATTTCTGCAAATTATACATCTAAAACGTCAGAAAAATCTTTTGAGAAGTCTTACTGGTGATGAACGCTTAGACGACTTGATGACAAAAATCGTATTAAGGTGACGATATCTTGTCGTATGTTATTTAATATTATTAGAATACTTCATTTTTTTCAGAAAAATAATGTTTTGATCCCTTTTTTATGAAATCGTAGCATCGCCTCGTCGTCGGGAAAAAAATTGTTGTCGGGAATTTTTTTACATCAATTTTACATGATTTTACTATACTTCTGGAAAATAAGACATCAAGGTTTTCTTTAAGGAAACCGACACCCACCAACTTATGTTTAAGTCATCTTGCCACCGTAAACACACATTTTAGGGACCAAATATTACGGTTTCAACGAATTTGTACGGAGGAAGAGGACTTCGAAGAGACATGTGCAATTGTTTTTAAACAATGGCGACAACGAAGATATGCGAAATGGTTTTTACGCAAA